ACTGCCATGACCCCACTGTATGTCATTTTCGACCACCTCCACGGTACTCATTTTACCTTTTTCTCTACCTTTGTGTCTGTCTCTTTTACATCTTTAAACCACTCTTCCGTTCCTCCCTATCGACTTTTTTCACGTTGATGTTCCTCCTCCCCTCTATGAAGCCCGAAGTCAACTAAAGGGCTAATGATAACTTTCAAAACGCCTGCCATTTTATATAAAAATTAAAACGCAAATATATAACATATTAAGATGATATGAAGAAATGGGGAATTTGGGCTATTTTGGAACTATTATGATTGGTGGAAACGAAATTGTATCAATATCTGAGTATTCAAAAATTTCATGGCCGGACTTGTGGTAAATAGTAATGAACTGTGGAGAAACAAATCAGAACCTACTTAATCGAATTCCAAATCAATTGAAAACATTGAAACTCCAGCAGTTATTGTATTCAAAGGTGCCTATGGATTGATCACTGGTGAACAGAGAGAAAGGTAATGCTGAACAAAGCTTCTTAAAATAGTTTTAAGATGACTCCCGTATACCCGGAAGGAGTGCTGAATGCGATGTGATTATCCTTCAATGTGCATTCGTGGATCAAATCATCTGACATGATTAAAACAGTAGCATTGGGGGCGTATTTTAACAGCGGGTTAGGAGAAAGCCGATCTAAGGACAATGGCCAAAATTCTGCATTCAAGCTTAAACAAAAAATTCGTCTTTGACTTGCTACAAAAATCCAGAATCGTTTTCTTTCCTTGAACCTTCGTCTGATTAGTTATGTACCAATGAAAGTTGAATGAAAGCTTAAAAAGCAAAGGGATAAGACAAATCGACCAAGACATCAAGGCAGTTTGTGATTTGTCTTCTCTAGAACAGCCAACCGTGTCAATTATCATCTTCATTGACCTAAGTCCCGTTCTCAAGGGAATTCGAATGAAAATGACAAAATGAAAAACTGTCAACTGTATCAATTACTATTATTCAAGCGCAAAGATCAACAAGTACTTCAAATACCCAATTCCTACTTGTTTGAAACTCAGGTCGAAATTGAGTCGCATCAAAAGATCTTTGCAAAAGTTCCAGCATGCATTCGTCGAGGCTGAGAAGTCGTAGATTTCATAATTCCATGGTCCAAATTACCCAAAACTTTTCTTTGTCCGAAACAATAGTATATTCCTCTTTTAATAAACGAACATTTGTGTCCGGGAGTATGTGTGATCAATGCCCAACGGTGAGAACCTATTGAGTAGATTAGTTCATGCCAATGGTTAAGACAAGGATATAAACAGAGACAAAAGATTCTAGTTTCTCCATAATTAGGCTTCATAAGGCTACTCTCCTACTCGAAGGAAGCACTGCAAATGTGTACTTGGAAGTTTATAATCACTCAAACGATTGGATATTTCTAGTTAAAAAAGGTGGCTATACCGATGAAGGAAGATTTTTATTATTTCAAATAGCAGTCTTCATGATATTTATCATTAGCCCTTAAACTTTGACTTTAGCTTCCCCCATGGGTAATGATATTTATCATTAGCCCTTAAACTTTGACTTTAGCTTCCCCAAGGGTGGGGGGTACATTGGAGGGGTATCATTCGCAATTTAACTTTGACTTCAGCTTCCCCCAAGGAAGGGTGGGGACATTTATAGCAGTTAATTAATAGCAGCGTAGCTTTGACTTCAGCTTCCCCCAAGGGTGGGGGGTACATATGTTGACTTCAGCTTCCCCCAAGAGGGGGGGGGTACATTTAAAGCAGTTAATTAATAGCAGTTCATTAGCAGTCTTCTTGCTTACCTTAATCTTTGACTTCAGCTTCCCCAAGAGGGGGGGGGGGTACATTTATAGCGGTTAAAATAGCGGAAAAACTTTGACTTCATCTTCCCCCAAGGGTGGGGGGGGGGGTACATTTATAGCCTTAATCTTTGACTTCAGCTTCCCCAAGAGGGGGGGGGGGTACATTTATAGCGGTTATTAACACAGCCCATGGGTGGGGGGTACATATATAGCAGTTAATTAATAGCAGACATTAGCAGTCTTCTTGCTTCCCAGTATCTTTGGCTTTCCTTGCATTGGCGGTACATTTATAGCAGTTAATTAATAGCAGTTCATTAGCCCGGACATTTATAGCAGTTAATTAATAGCAGACATATATAGCAGTTAATTAATAGCAATTCATTAGCTGTCTTTTTGCTTCCCAGTATCTCTGTGTTTCCGTCGTTGTCTTTAGTTGCTTCCCAGTATCTCTGGCTTTCCGTCCTTGTCTTTAGAGTGGGACACCGAATCAGGTGGGTCTTCTCCATTTCCTCTTGATGAACACCGAATCAGGTGGGTCTTCTCCATTTCCTCCTGTATACCAGTATCTTTGGCTTTCCGTACTTGTCTTTAGGGCTGGACATCGAATCAGGTGGGTCTTCTCCATTTCCTCCTCTGGTGAACACCGAATCAGGTGGGTCTTCTCCATTTTCTCCTGTAGAGAATCAGATGGGTCTTCTCCATTTCCTCCTGTAGGTTTCACAATCAGACTCCATGTCCTTGTCTTTAGAGCTGGACACCGAATCAGGTGGGTCTGCGTTGTCTTTAGAGCTGGACACCGAATCAGGTGGGTCATCACCATTTCCTCCGCTAGACACCGAATCAGGTGGGTCTTCTCCATTTCCTCCTTTGAACACCGAATCAGGTGGGTCTTCTCCATTTCCTCCTGTATGCGAATCAGATGGGTCTTCTCCATTTCCTCCTGTAGGTTTCACATCAGGTGGGTCTTCTCCATTTCCTCCTGTAGGTTACAGATCAGATGGGTCTTCTCCATTTCCTCATGTAGGTTACATATGGTGGGTCTTCTCCGTTTCCTCCTGTAGGTCACATAGACAGGTGGGACTTCTCCATTTCCTCCTGTAGGTTACATAGAGTATGTGGGTTGAGTGTATACTCTCAATCTGTGAAGGTGTTTTGATTGTATACTCCTAATCTGTGAAGGTGCTTCGCCAGATTTCCTCCTGTAGGTTACATAGAGGGCATGTGGGTTGATCGCTAGACACCGAATCAGGTGGGTCTTCTCCATTTCCTCCTTTGAACACCGAATCAGGTGGGTCTTCTCCATTTTCTCCTGTAGAGAATCAGATGGGTCTTCTCCATTTCCTCCTGTAGGTTTCACATCAGGTGGGTCTTCTCCATTTCCTCCTGTAGGTTACAGATCAGATGGGTCTTCTCCATTTCCTCATGTAGGTTACATATGGTGGGTCTTCTCCGTTTCCTCCTGTAGGTCACATAGACAGGTGGGACTTCTCCATTTCCTCCTGTAGGTTACATAGAGTATATGTGGGTTGAGTGTATACTCTCAATCTGTGAAGGTGTTTTGATGGTCATTTCCTCCTGTAGGTTACATAGAGGGCATGTGGGTTGATCGCTAGACACCGAATCAGGTGGGTCTTCTCCATTTCCTCCTTTGAACACCGAATCAGGTGGGTCTTCTCCATTTCCTCCTGTATATATCTCTGGCTTTCCGTCCTTGTCTTTAGGGCTGGACATGGATCTCTGGCTTTCCGTCGTTGTCTTTAGGACTGGACACCGAATCAGGTGCGTCGTTGTCTTTAGGGCTGGACACCGAATCAGGTGGGTCTATCGTTGTCTCGCTGGATCCGAATCAGGTGGGTCTTCTCCATTTCCTCCTGCAGGTTAAATAGAGGGCATGTGGGTTGAGTATATACTCAAGTAGGTTACATAGAGGGCATGTGGGTTGAGTGTATACTCCCAATCTGTGAAGGTGTTTTGCCAGGCAATCGTGTCCGGCACCTTGTCTAAACTCAGCAACGGCTTCGATTCTTGGCCAGTCGGCTATGTCGGAGATTGCCAATCTCCACTGTTTCTCCTTTCCGATGAAGGAAGTAGGAAGTAGATTAGTTCAATTTAGCATTAGAAACAAATATTTTTTCCATAATGAGCTTTATTAGCAAATGGACGGTTAGTTTCTAAACAATAACGTCACTTTGCTTATTTGGGTAATTTTGTTTATGATTTAAAAGTCGATTTGGAGGTTTAGGTGAAGTATTACCCTGCCAATTTGCACCATGTTGCCGAGGTTGTAGTAAATAAATTTCAACCCTCCTGTCATCAGCCAATCACAAACGGTGATCAGTTAAAGCATTTTCATATTTTCGTGTTTATTAAGTGTTTTAATGTGATTAAAACCATATGGCCATAGCAAACATTTATAAAGTATTCAAAATTGTTTTGGTTAAACAGAGGTCAAAAGCCAAATTCAAAGTAGGTACAATCTCTTGGCACTAATAAAAATAGAAGTAAGTAATATAAATGCAGCAATTATTATTCAACTTGATAAAATTCGTCTCAGAAGTGTATTAAGAGCAGGTTGGCAAGAGGGCTCTTTAGCAGATAACTAAAATTACATTAATAAAGTCGACGGAATTCATTTTTAAGCTTTTTGTCCATTTGCTCTAAAAGTGCTCTAATATTAACAGCAACGGGGTGTGCGATAGACTTACCTCCACGCAGTGCACCTTGGCCAAGTATACTCATACGGCAGTCTATTAACCGGCAGAGGACTCCTGAGTCCAAAGTACAATGACCCTTTCACAGTACTCATTTTACCTTTTCTAAGCCTTTGTTTCTGTCTGTCTCTTTTACATCTGTGAATCATTATTCTATCTCCCCTCTCCACTATTTGTCACTTTGATGTTCCTTCCCTCTGTGAAGCCCGAATTCAACTGAAGGACTAATGATAACTATCAAAACGCCTGCCATTTGAAATAAATAAAAAATATTCAGCAGTGGTGTTTCTTTATCAACTTACTCTCGTTCGATTATTAGCTCATTTATCATTAATACCTGCGTCATCTGGTTACAAAGATAGCTGAATATGCCACGGCTTATGACTTCTTGCATAATCAACGTGTGTAGAACTGTTAACGAAAGAGGTCTTATACAATTCGGAAAATGCCAATAGTATACTGTTCCGACAAAATGCGTTAGCAAATTCTTTTCATACCTTCAATTTATTCAAAGACCAGGAATCGCCATCTTCTAGAAAAAATGTATTTTTTCTGTACTTCTATTTGCTTATTCTTCTATATAGTTTATTGACACCTTTGAAGTCGGTTTTCAAGTATTCAATCTCTGAGGATCGCCTTTCTACAGAAAATTCATTAGGCAAAATGTTTGGTCTAACATAATGTAGTCAAATAACTTTAAAATTTCCCATCTAATTGATAGTATGATAGTATATTTAGACGCATGATATGCAACTGGCATTCTTTATTCGGGTAAATATATATCAACAGATCCTAGTCCTGTGAATTCCGGTTTTATAAAATTGTAACAGATGCATTTGGATACATATGAATTTCACACATCTGGCCAGGTCACATTATCTATTTATCTTTTTTGCACATTTTATAAATTAAGGTCAAAATTTTTTTATTTGGTAATGAAAATATTGGACAGATACCTAAAGTTTGTGATAAAATAAATCTGAAAATTCGAAGTAATTTTTTATTACTTACCTTCACGTGGTACTTCCTGGGCAACGTATACTCATACGGCAAAAGTTTATAAATCGGCAGTTGACTTCTCACTTCAAACTACCATCACCCCACCGTATATCATATTCAACAACTTCTACAGTGCTCATTTCACCTTTTCTCTACTTTTTTGTCTGTCTGTCTCTTTTATATCTGTGAATCACTCTTTTGTTCCCCCTCTCGAATTTTTTTCACTTTAATGTTCCTCCCTCTGTGAAGCCCGAGGTCGGCTAAATGACAAAAGATAACTATTCAAAACGCCTGCCATTTGAAATAATAATAATTCGATCAGCACTTTTAACACGTCTAAACTTCGAGCAAACATATAATATCTCACAGCTATTCGCTTTGGTTAAATTCTACCAATTAAAAATGTAATAAGTTGTCGTTGTATCGATCTTTTGTGAAGTTATTTTAGGCGTTCCTTTTAAATGATTGGAAATGAAGGCTGATGTTATCTTAAACCGGAACTATGCTTTGGATATAGGCAGAGAAAACCATTAGCATAGTCACATTGTCACACCAAGTATGCTCTAACATAACAGAATTGTAAGGCTATGTGATCTGCATGAAATATAAACCCTGCTTAATTCTAAATCTTTCAAACTTAAACAGGGTGAAATAAACGTATTACCTCATTATTTAATTCAAGGAGCTAATTTCTTAGTTAGAGACAGGCATATTTTCCTGTTTAATATTAAAATTCAATCACCTTCGTTGATTGGTCCACGAATCCACTTCACACAGTATCCAAAGCACAATTTGAAAGGAATGTCATTAAAGTTGAGAAGTGTCCGATTAAATGGATCTCGGCAGTATGGATGCTTATCGGATCGACATTCGACACAAAGTATGCTCTGAACTGTAAAAAAATGCATAAAATAAATGTATTAGGTCACCAGTTGTGACAAATACGATACAAATGAATATATTCTCACTAATTACACTGTAGGAAATCAATCGTTAGAGGGTAATCAATAAATCAGCTGAGTATATACTTAAATAAAGTAAATTTACTTTGGCTGCAAAACATTTTGTATTTATTGGAAACAGCTTTAAGATGGATAAAATATTCCTCCTGAGGTTTGAGTAATAAATAAAGTCCAAATTTAAATGAGATATATCTGCGCAGGCCTTTAACTTTCAATGGATTTATTTGTTCTTCGAAAGGTTTCCACCCCATGTAAAAATGCGTTGTTTTCGAGATTTCAGTCAATGTATATTCGACTTGATTTCCCGTGTTGGGCTGAAGAAATTATTTTATCAAGCCGAAACGCAAGCCCATATGATAAATTTAAAAATTCCAGCTTTAAAAATGAGCTTTTTTTAATTTTTTAATGAAATTAGGGGCATTTAGATCTCGAATTTAAGCATATGCGTGAGTTAATGACTTAAAATAAGCATTTGCGATTATTATGGTCATGAAAATATTCATTAAGTACTTTAATTCAGTAGCTAGAATATTGAATGTCATTGTTAAAATAATGCAATTATGTAAATATAACATCTTTTTAACATTCAGCTGATGGTCAAGTTACATTTCGCGTTTTGAACTTTGCTCATTTCAATACTAAATGCCCAATTTTTTCTTCCAAATGAAAGCCTAGTATGTTTAAACAATAATACCTACCTAAAATGTAAACAATGCTGCATCTCTAGGGTTACACACATGTTTAGGCACGTGACAGTTATACATATAATGAGTGATAACATCAAATCGACTATGTATAAACTATATATTTATATAAATTTAATGAAAGTATAGTGCTTAAGAGAGTAATATTTGAGGAAAATATGAGACAATGGCAAAATAAAATTTGTCACTTATAAAATAAGGCTTAAAATTTATTCATTAATAAAATAGGAAGTTATCATATTTACTGTATTGTAACTGTAAATATTTCGATGCCATTTATTTTCATTTGTTTTGTAATGTAATTATTAGAATGATCAAACGATCATGCTTTGCGATTTCAAATTTACCAGTGTCCGCAATAAACTGATAAGCAAGACTAGAAATTGAGCCAAATTAATCGATTACGACTGATAATAAGTGAATAAGACTAATTCATAAAAAGAATCTTGACTAAGTGGTTAAAGAGTGACTGTTTTGTAATGCTACATTATTAAATTATTTTAAAATAGTTTAAAATTCAAAATTTTAAACTATAAAACTTTGTTTAAATTAAGAAAACAAGATAAAGGCACCTACGCTTTTAATATTATTACAAAATAAATAAATGATGCAAAGTAGTGTTCACTTAATCATACTTATCAGAAATTGAAATCTATTGTCTTGTTTAGAATAGTAGACATTAAACAGAAACAGAAACTGAAACTGAAATTTCGATTGATTTTATTCCTCTTTCGACTGCAAAGTTTTGAAGACTGTTATAGTTATTTTAAAATTAAATTGCCTTTTTAATAATTTAAATATATGGAAATCATATTTTTCTGATAGTAAAAAGGGTAAGAGAGCATACTACAGATGTCCACGAAATTCGATGTTGGCTCTAATCTCTTATTCATAGCTAAAATTGGTTAATTAGGATAAGTATCAATTGACTGTGATACCTATAACCTAGCACTGAACTTTAAAGCGAAAAATTGTTCCCTCTCACCTGGGCAAATAGAATCCGGATCTGTGGCGAAAACACTTGGAATCGGATTCATATCAAAGGTGAATGGGGCTTGAAATCGATAAACCTTTTGCGATTTAACTACGTTTGAATTAAATGAAAGAGCCGATTCATTGAATTGGATAGTCATTTCAGTTGCCCACGGTTTTATCATTTCCAAAAGAGGTAGAATTACGATAGAGAGTAGAATTCCGGTTAAAATGCAACGTTGTGGCCACTGCATTGGCTTCGATTCAATCTAAAAAATAAATAAAAATAAAATAGAATAGTCCGGGTTTCAATGAGGTTTGAAAATGAGATAAGGCAAATGTTTGCATTAATCATTTTTAAAATGCAACAATTAGATTAAATTCCATTGATATCATTTTTAATGAATAAGTATTTACTTAATTAAAATTTTAACAAGGCCTAAGAAGTGATGTTGGTTTTTTTGTTATCGTTATAATTTTTTTAATGCTTTAACTAATTAATTACTTTATTACTCTTCATGCAAATACCTTTACTTTATTCAAATCTATTTATGGTCAAAACAACTAATGACTCCAATCAGTGTTGGCCTTACGAAATGTTACAAAAAATAAATGTTTGAAATCAACTGTTGCACTAATTCACCGTATTATTTATTTATAATTCGGTGTTGCAGTTTTATATTCGATAAACTATTTCTAAAATCATTGTATATCTATTTTAAATAAAATTTAGTGTAGAAAAAAATATATATATCTTCAAATTCATATTATTTTAATCACATAAATGTACCCAACAATGTTATTGTTTTGACAAGGTTGGGAATAAAGAGAAAATAAACGATACCTCATATTTGTTGACTTTTTGGAATCATTACTTATTTTCCTGGTAGCAAAAGTATTGTGATAGTTTGGCTAATTTCGATAGTGCAATTGAGGGAAGGTGTACGAGGGAGATTCTGCAGGCTGGTTAGGAAGTGGTCGTGCCAAGCGCTAACACTTTGGCCATTTGCCCCAACTATTCTGACGCGTTGGGGGCGGGGGGGGGGGGGG